ATTTCTTTTTTTTTTCTTTTTCTTTCTTTTTTTTTTTTACTGACTGTTCACTTGCCTTTAATCATGTTTGAACTTTCTCATACTATAGTTTTTGCTGTGGTATATGAAGTACTTAAAGTGTGTGGAAAGCAAAGTTACAATGATATAAAATTAGTGTCATTAATTTTTTTGTTTGTATGTCACATTCTGATTTGTGACATTACTTTTTAAATAATGCTAAAACACTGCTGGTCACTTTCAGAAGTTACAGTGATTCTTTATTTTCCAAGAAAGAATGTGAAACAAATTGGTTATATAATTTAAAATTTTAAATATTGAACAGTCAATCCCTTAAATTTACTAGTGAATTTTTTTTTTTCCAGTGTTGATCATTCAGTCCATGATTAAAGTTCTTTGACTCTTTAGTTAGAAATTTAATCTAGGCTCTCAAGAAAAGTCCAGCTTTTGAGGAAGCGGATTGCTTTTGTTTGCAGAAACTAATCATCCCAAATTCCCAATCACTGACACTTCAGCATATGAAGAAACCTGGATGACACAGTCAGTAGCCCTGGGAGCCCTCGTCTCTGTGTTGGTTAAGACGTTTAGTGAGTGGGTGGGCGGGTCGGTTATCTCTCAGCCTGTAAAACTGGTAAAGCACAGACTCTTCAAACAAGAGAGACGGGTCGTCAGGGTTCAGCTACAAGCCGCTCTACCTACACATGCTGCTCCCGCTCTTACACTCATCTGAAGATAAATAAAAAACCAAGACTAATGTATGTTCAGAGCTGAAATGTGCTGGCCGACTGTCATGTGTAAGGTGCAATTATAATGTAATCACAGATAGCCAGAGATAGTGCCATAACTTGAGCATTAATGCTGTGTTCACATGGAGATGAATGCTGCTGCGTTTCTAACATCATCTGGGATTATTCTATTAATACATGTGGCCTTAATGGTGTAGTGCAGTCTGTGAGATGGTGCAGTTTAATTTACTTGGGTAAATTACATTTTAAGCTTTTTGGTGATTCAAATCAGGGTTATTAACAGAAACAAAAATTTTAAGCCATAAAAAAAATCATAACTGAAAAAAAACATTAACTAAAATAAAAATGTGTATTTTTTTTTCCAGCGAATTGCCAAGGCGACATTTCTTGTTTAACTTGATTTATTAAACTAAAACAGAAATAAAATTATTTGGACATATAATAAAAAACAAAAACTATTTAAAATCACAAAAACACACAAAAAATGACTAAGACTTTAACTAAACAAAAATGAAAATACAAACTAATTAATAAAACTATTAATAAAAACTATAATACTCTATCAGTGATACTAAAATAACACTTATTCACCAATTGCATACATTTCAATATAATGCAAAAATTAGTTTTATATTACATCACTTTTTGTTTTATTTTCTGAATGTTCACTGGAATATCTGAATTGATAGTTAGATACTTGAAAAACAGCTAATTTGCTTTAATTTGCTGTTTATGTTTGTTTTATTGCTTGTAATTTGTTTCTTTATTAGGGCCCAAGCCACTAGGGGCGCAGGACCCTATTGTTTTTCTAAGGATTATTATTATTTTTATTTTTATTTTAAGGCTTTTGGGGCCCTTAACATGCTCAAAAACTCTTGAAATTTTCATACATGTTGGAATCTGTGGCCATCAGGGCCGGACAGGTTCACCGGGGGGGGCCGTGGCACAGCCTTCAAAAAGTCCATTTTTGAGGGGCTTTGTAGTGCACACTGTTTGACCTAAAGTCACCAAAATTCACACACATGTAGAGCTCATCAGGCCGAACAACTTTCCGCCCATTTTACAGTTATGGTTACTGTAAATGCATGTTACACCGTGGTTGCGGTGACGCTGGAGGCTTGGGCCCGTCATCGCTGCTTGCAGCTGTATTTCATTTTGTTTTATTTACTCTTTCTTTAAATAATTGCTGAGAAACCCTGAAGCAATGTTTACTCAAATACTTGAAAGCTGCATGCCATTATTTAAATATTAATGCAATATTAAAAATATTATGATGTGTGAATAAACATATTAATTAGGGATGCTCCGATTGATCGGCCAGAGATCGGTATCGACCGATAATCACATTTCATGACTCGATCGGTACTCACTATTTGGCCGATCTCACGAACCGATCGCAATTTGATGACGTCAGCGCCTGACCACGTACCTGATGCGTGGGACGTAAATGATTTTAAGCCACAGTCATGTCATCGCCGGTGTGGAAATGCTATGACGTTTCGAGAAACAATGAAAAATTTGCTATTTGTCGTGTATGTTTTGCATGATGATGAATGGATGGTTCATTTTTAATAGCAGATTCAGTGACGTTAGAGCTGATCTGCGCCTCACTGCACAAGTCTGCGGCGCGTTACGTCTCCACGGGAACCGGAGCTGATCGCGGCCGCTCTAGTCAGTGCTTGTGTTTATACTGCAGCCGCGGCATGTTTCTCTCTTTTGTGAGTTGGCACAGCATGGAGGACGGAACAAAACCTCATCTGAGCCGTATCACTGATCGTGGGGCTGCTTTTAAATGAAAGTTTATTTATAAAACAAAATATCATCTTTGGCCATATTGGCCTACTCAATAGCATTAACACAGGCTTTACTCCTTTCAAACTTTATCTGGAATGTCACCGTTTCTGTCACTCACTTCCCGATCAGGCGAACGAACACACACACACACACACACATGCGAAATCGTCTGCCTCATGAAAAAAATTTAGTTAATATTTGCATAATTTATGATTTATTTTATCCACCCACGACCCACCCGCAAATAATCAGAATGCATTTTAAAGCGGGAGAAACAGAGGTTTCCCCGGTAACAGCTGTACACAAAGCAGCGCTGAGCTCACAAACTCTGCTTTATCAGGCCATTGTTTTAATGGAATAATTAAAGGAGTGTTTAGTAGGATAATCGCTTATTGCTTCTGTATTAAAATTCATATTGTGGCAAACACCTTTCTTGTTTTCTTCAGAATTATTTTGTTCTTTCGTTAAGTTCTTTCTATAACTGTAATCAGATGCCTCGTGATGCATTTTAATGTCAAACAGTTTCCATATTCTATATTCAGAAGTTGCTACATCATTACACCCTTAGTACTTGCGTATGGCTTCATTTTTCTTACCTGTCTCATTTTACTTGTTGTAATCGTTTTATTTCCTAGAAGCATTTCAATGTTAAAGAGGTTTACAGCGGTATACGTACATCATCATGTTCGGTTTTCAGCACATGTTGTTGTATTATGTAAAGTGAGTCGTGCAGCGTTTTTTCTCTCGGGACGAGGGTGATTTAACTTTGCTTTAGCATCCCGAACACTCATTTCTCAGCACATATAAAATAAAAAATAAAAATAAATAAATATATATATATATGTGTGTGTTTATTTATTTACTTCACAAATAAAGACGCGTTGTTTCGGCCCCACTAATGTCCCGGTGCATCACATCAGTTCATTATTTAGTCTTTTATTCTGGTGATGTTTGAAGTTAAAGTTTGCTGGTTTTCTCTGTGCGGACTCCTCCGTGTGTCCAGACAGTGACTGTAATTTTTCGCTGTGGAGCGATCAGAGCTTCATCAGACGCGACTGCCGCGAGATGCTGAAGTGTGAGACTTATCTCTGCTGAGCTGGAGAAATGCATGTGTGGCCATAAAACAGTGTGAGAAATAATGGACTTCACAGAGTTAATGGACTATGGACTTTCTCATATTATTAGTACATTTATGTATATTATATCAATGTATTTAAATTGTTAATATTTCTGTTTATGGGATTATCTCAGAACAATACTGGACATTTTATGATGCTGTTTGATTTATTAATTTTTTTATTCTATTCATTCATTTATAAAAAACGAATTATAAAAAATAAAAATAATAAATAATAATTTATAAAAGTGTCTGCTAAATGCATAAATGTGAACATCATAAACTTAGTTTAGATAAATAAAATATAATTACAAAAAATAATTAAAAAAAAAATTTAAAAAAATAAAGCATAATTTTTTTTATGAAAGTGTCTACTAAATCCATAAATGTAATATAAACCCATAAATATGTAATATAATAAACTTACTTATAAATAAACTTAGAACTTATAAATTAAATATAATTGTAAAATAATACAATTATAAAAATTATTAAAAATAAATAATAACATTTAAAAGAATAAATCATAAAAAATAATGTATAAAATTGTCTGCTAAATGTAAAAATAGTAAACTTTGTTTAGAGAAAAAATATAATTTTAAATAATAAAATTATACAAAAATATTTTTAAAAATCATAAAAATAATGTATTAGTGAATTTAGAAAAATATATTCTACTTAAGGAGTAAATTGGCATAATTTGATTACTTTAACTATAAAGTTTTAAATTTATGCATTTTAATACATTTATACATTTTTATTACATTTGTTTTAATCAAAGCGACTTACGTTACATTTGGGTTATGCACTTTTCAGTTCATGCACTTCCTGGGAATCGAACCTGTGACCTTGGCGTTGCTAGCGAATGCATTATGTATGCTTATTCACAAAACTTGTGTTTTGCATTTCTACAAGTTGCAATTCAGTAAATCTTCTTCATGTCATTCAAATTAAACATCCTGCATGATGGTTTCAGTTGAATTCATATTCTAGCTCGTGAACTGAAAAGGTGCAGAGTCTTAATTCTGAATTTTGATGATGTGTGGCGTCTTGCACTGTTGTGGGTATTTATGGAAAAATGACATCTTGTTCCTCCATTTTTATCCCATCCTCTTGCACAGCATGTTTTGTCCGCCCCACTTTCTGTGTAGTTATCTTCTGTTCTGTGGCGCGCAGTGATTCAGTGACACAGTGTGTCTTCACTGCGTTAGGTTTGATAACACAGGGACGTTCGGCTCTCTCTGGTGGGGATCTGGCTGCTTGATATGAGCGATCGATGCGTCTTGGCCTTTAGGAAAGCCCTTCTGTGTTTACTATCCTCACTGACTGTGTGTGGCTCTTTCCAGGTCACCTTCAAACCCAGCTCGTCCACTGCGGAGGTGCACGATGAACACATCAGAGGAGTGCTGAAGGTAAGAGCCAATCTGCCGCCTAATATTTGATCATATTTATATGGTTTATAAACACTGCTTCTTAAAGGAATAGTAGAATTTGCTGAAAATTTGCTCACCCTCAGACCATCCGAGATGCAGATGAGTTTGTTTCTTCATCAGATTTGGAGAAATGTAGCATTGCATGAGTGTCTCAGCAATGGATGCTCTGCAGTGAATGGGTGCCGTCAGAATTTCACTGGAGGAAGCGTTATTATGGATTATGGACTAATATTTGAGTTCAAAATTGAGAAATTGAGTTCTTAATGCTGTATTTGTTTTGTCTTTTGTCTCAAGACATTAACTGATGGACTGGAGTGCTGTGGATTACTTGTGGATTATTGTGATGTTTTTATCAGCTGTTTGGACTCTCATTCTGACGGCACCCATTCACTGCAGAGCATCCATTGCTGAGACACTGATGCAATGCTACATTTCTCCAAATCTGATGAAGAGACAAACTCATCTGCATCTCGGATTCTTCATTTTTGGGTGGATTATTCCTTTTAACTAGTTGAGACGTGACGAGAATTTGTCCATGTTGGAAGTGAAAGTCCTGCTTTACGCAACAAATTCACATTCATTTAGAACGTATTTAAATGTGATCATAATTACTCACCTTCATGTTGTCCTAAACCTTTTTGACTTTCTTTCCTCCATTGTATGTGGAATAAATTAAATATTTTAACCCTGTACAGCCTGACATATGAAATAATAGTCTTATAAAAACCTGTTTATTGAAAAAAAAAAATTTTTTTTAAATCAAATGCTTTTTTTGGTTTGTTTGGGTTTTTTTTTTTTTTTTTTTTTTTTTTTAAAAGGTTTGCATATGTATTTTTTGTTGACTATCATATTTGATCCATCAGGCTTTTATGGCTCATATAGTATGATACAGTGAGAATTAGGGCTGTGCGATTAATCAAAATCGAATTGAAATCGCGATTTGAGACGTTGCGATTTCCTAATCGCAAAGCCTGCGATATGATGGAGGAAAATATATATATAATGCAATCCAATGATGATTGAGAGATGAACAAATAAACGCTCCTCAAGATCCTGATGATCAGATTTGAGACTCACTGATTTTTCTAAAATAATTCATGGATAATCAAGTAAAGTGAAGCTGCTTCAGTCCAGTAAGTGTTCATCTGGAAATATTACTACAGTTATTCTTACATTTACTTGATAAAAATCAGTGAAGATTTGACAGCAGAAAGACACGTGAAGCTCGAGCTGAAGCTGGACATTATTTTACTCTAAACTATCAATCAGACGACAGAAGGCATGATTGTGTGCGACAGGTTTAAGAGCAAAGTTTTAATTATGTTTATCATTTGGAGGCCTTGCATTTCAAATATGATAGCGTAGGGTTAAAGAGTCTTCGCTGCTTTTTGCATACAATGAAAGCAGACAGTGATCACATCCGTCGAGCTTCAGAAACGCAGCACAATGACTCTGATTGAAAACTCTGGAGTTGTTTGATGGTGCCGCTGATGCTAGTCATCCGGATAATCCTCTATTTCATATTGATGTTGTTTGGGGGTTTTTTTTGTTTTTTTTAGCTCAGTCATTTGTTTGAACATCTCCTGGCAAAGCAGCCGCTGCTTCTGTAGCTGTGATTATGAATATGACAGTAATTGTTCTCCTGCCACCAGCTCATCAGAAAACATCTCACTATTGTCTGGCAGAACTGTTTGCTTTGAGCACTTGTAACTCGTTTCAGAGAGAATAAATATCAGATACGCTCATGAGTGTCTTTACGAGCAGAAGTCTTAATGGCCTGTGAGAGGACGAGACTGATTCAGACTAGACTAATGCACAGAACTAGTTATTTATTGGTTAGTCACGGGTCAGATTCGTTACGCTTGGAGCACACAAGCAATAAAATCAAATGGCAAATTTTTTTTTTGCAAACTATGGTAAGACTATGCTAATATGTTAATATATGTCAAGGCTGAATCTTAACATAACATGTCCACATTTCTCCCAGAATCAAAAGGAAGAAGTTATATTTTGCATAAAGAAAAGATCAGGATAAGATCAAATTAGGATGTTTATGTATGTACATATGTACATATTTATTTTATTTTTGCATTGTAATTATCTTTGGTAATTCTTTTTTGATTCTTCTTAATAGTGTTTAATTAGATTAACAGTCTAATTATAAAACAAGTGTTTTATAATAAATCAGTACTGTATTTTTATTGTATTAAATATTTTTAAAATAAAATTATTTCATGTAAATAATTGGAATTTATTTAAATTTTCTTTAAAGGCAATATAGCAGATACTACCATGTTATGTAAATACAATAGAAATGTGTATAATATTTTACTTATTCATTTATTTTGCATTGCAGTAATAATAATCAGATTTATTGTCATGAAAATGTGGCAACATTTTTAATGGTGCTAAAATAAGCTTGCTTTCTTTGTGCGATATAATATTTCATTGTTTTTTTTGTTTTTTTGCATTACATTCATATTAATCAGATTAATTGTCAAGAAAATGTTACAAAAAAATCTTAATGGTGCTAAAATAAGCTTACGTTCTTCATGCATTTTAATTTATTTCTTTTGATATTTGGTGACGTGTGACCTGGACATGTTCTCGTCTTTGTATGAATATGTTAATCATTTAGAAACATCTGATACCCTCACTTTACCATGAATGTAAAGCTCATGAGAATCGCTCACAGGTGTTCCTCCGTGAGTAATGGCAGGGATTATGGGGAAAAGACATAAATCCAGTCTGCTTGTAATCCAGTCCCAGCTGGTCAGGAGCACTGCAACACACTGCAACCCTGTAAATATGAGAGCTGTGTCTGTGTTTTAGGTGGGTGCTGTGGTCGAAGCCAGGAACCAAGATGGGATCTATCAGGAGGCTACCATCAACAAACTCACTGATGCTAGTTTGTACACCGTCGGTAAGTCCGTCTCATCTCATCTCATCCTAGACTGTAATTCAGCACTGCACATCTCTTCAGACAATTGATTATGTATCTGAGACAGATCGAAATGCCACTTCCATCCTTGATTTATGGTTTGCTTTAGTTTATAGCATCATATGCGAGAGCAACACAGTCAATCTGAGATGCTGGGTAATTTTCAACACAAACACACACACAAAACGAGTGAATCGTTACACCCCTATTAATATACTATTATATTTATATATCAAATATTTATATATATAATAATATTTTTTTAATTGTCAGATGAAAACGTTTTATAATTAGGATTATATATATACAGTGTGTGTGTATATATATATATATATATATATATATATAAATTAAAATAAATTATGAATGTAAATATGATAGTGTGTGTGCTTGTGTATGCATGTGTATATTATTTTTTATTTGTTTTACCACACTGACCAATGGTGGTGAAGAAAATTTAAATATTAGTAAATATTCATAAATATTGATGATCATATATTTAGCATTTGTGTTAACTATTAGTAATATTTTTGTGCCTATGACAGTTGAATTCTCTGTTTTGTTTTATTATGCATGTTAGCGAGCAGCATCACAGGTTCTCGCTGCACAACATAACAGGTTGTTTGTGTCACTCGCAGCATATGAGATGCGTCAGTCTCTCACAAAAACATAAAACACTGGTTTCATTCCTCATATTTTTCATATTTGATGTGTTAATGTGAATTATAGTCCACATATGTGTCGGCACATGGAGAGAAAATGCACTTGATGACCTGTGAGTCACAGTAGATGTTTCTCTAGCAGATGGTTCGCATGTCTTGCGTTTGACGCTGCTGTTCTTTCAGTTCAGTTATATTGTATGTCGCGGCTCCTAATGCAGCTACAAGCCAACTGGTGATTTACTCAAGCTTTTAGTGTTCATAAATGCGTGATAGGGACTCTCTTCAGCCATGAAGGACCAGAGTACTGATTAAATCAATTAATAATTCAATTGAGTTTCCACGTTCACTGTGAGTTTCTCATTAAAGCTGAAGAGCAGTGGGCGGCGTCTTTTAAAGCACTGATCCTATGTAACTCTGTCCTGATGCGTCTGATAACTCGTCTCTCTTTCTCTCTCCTGGGCTCAGTGTTTGATGACGGCGATGAGAAGACCCTCAGGCGCTCGTCTCTCTGCCTGAAAGGAGCGCGACACTTCGCCGAGAGTGAGGCAAGTCCACTTTCTGATTTCTCATTGGTTTAGATCGCTAGCAAACTCCTTCACATCATGACACTTTCACATCATATCCTGAAGTGAATTTGCTTGTGTCATAATTTAGGATGATTTAGAAACAGACTTTCAGACATGCGCTCAGGTGATCTTGAGAACATAAGGATGAATTTACTATTAATTAAAACAATATTTCAAAGAAAACATGTTTTGTTTTTTGTTTTGAACTTGAAAAAGAAAAAAAATTCTTCATAAAGTGCCAGATTTTCATGGCAAACATCAGCTCAAACCGAAACCGCAACAATTTATCAACTGTTGTGCTTATATGATTTTTATATGAGTTTAGCAATTAATCCAGTATATTAGGACATATCTAATGAGTTCATTTTTCTGCATAGTAGGAATGACCCAAAATCGGAGGTGTTTCATTCCCAGATGATTATTAGAAACTGTGTCACATCTCTGTTTGCTAAACAGTGCGCTAGGAAATGATTTCAAGCAGATTGTCAGTAGTTTAAGGCCTGAAACTCTACGCAAGTATGTATTTTAGTATCATTGATATACTCTTATAGTTTTTGTTAATATTTTGATTTTATTTTTATATTTTCTGTTTTCACTTAAATTTTAGTGGAGGTTTTAACGTTTTAATTGAATCAATGCTTAATTAATTAATTAAGTTTATTTTTATTTTAGTTATTTTAGTACTGAAAGTTAAACCAAACTAAAATGAGAAATATTGCCTTGGCAAATATCTGATAATAATTAAAAAAAGTAAAAAAATTGGAGGGAAAAAATGCAGTAAAAATTAAGTAATGATTTTCTTCTTTTTTTTCTTTTTTTAGTTAAAGTTTTAATTAGCCTATAAACACCTCTTGGTGCACAAGTGTGATTTTCGTATCATTGAGATGGTATTATAATTGTATTATTATATTTTTGTTAATGTTGTTTTTTTTTTGTCAATTTTGATATAGTTTTAATTTTATTTCAGTTTAACTTATTTTAGTACATCAAGTTAAAGTAAATGAAATTGAAGAATGTTGCATTTAATTTTTTTTCAGCTGGTATTTATTTTATTTCAAGTAATGAAACTGTATCAGGGTTTCCGCGGATCTTAAAAAAGCCTTAAAAACTCTTAAATTTAGTTGTATCAAATTTAAGGCCTTAAAAAGTCTTAAATTGTACAAGAAAGTCTTAATTATGATTTCAAGAGGTCTTAAATTTGGGGACGGAAAGACATGAGTGCTGCACCTTCAAAGTCCGGTGCTGCGCTGCTTTGTGTACAGCAGTTACCGGGGAAACATTTATATTTCTACCAAACGCTCCGCCTGCTGTCAGAATGAATGAGGATTTTCAATAAAACTGATGTTTTGTTCAGAGTTCAGACAAATGCAAAAATCGACCCATGTTTTTACCCTGCAAACACGCAGAGCTTTAAATGTGAATCAGGGTTTGTAATCGATGCATCAAGAAAACGAGTGAATCGTTACACCCCTATTAATATACTATTATATTTATATATCAAATATTTATATATATAATAATATTTTTTTAATTGTCAGATGAAAACGTTTTATAATTAGGATTATATATATACAGTGTGTGTGTATATATATATATATATATATATATATATAAATTAAAATAAATTATGAATGTAAATATGATAGTGTGTGTGCTTGTGTATGCATGTGTATATTATTTTTTATTTGTTTTACCACACTGACCAATGGTGGTGAAGAAAATTTAAATATTAGTAAATATTCATAAATATTGATGATCATATATTTAGCATTTGTGTTAACTATTAGTAATATTTTTGTGCCTATGACAGTTGAATTCTCTGTTTTGTTTTATTATGCATGTTAGCGAGCAGCATCACAGGTTCTCGCTGCACAACATAACAGGTTGTTTGTGTCACTCGCAGCATATGAGATGCGTCAGTCTCTCACAAAAACATAAAACACTGGTTTCATTCCTCATATTTTTCATATTTGATGTGTTAATGTGAATTATAGTCCACATATGTGTCGGCACATGGAGAGAAAATGCACTTGATGACCTGTGAGTCACAGTAGATGTTTCTCTAGCAGATGGTTCGCATGTCTTGCGTTTGACGCTGCTGTTCTTTCAGTTCAGTTATATTGTATGTCGCGGCTCCTAATGCAGCTACAAGCCAACTGGTGATTTACTCAAGCTTTTAGTGTTCATAAATGCGTGATAGGGACTCTCTTCAGCCATGAAGGACCAGAGTACTGATTAAATCAATTAATAATTCAATTGAGTTTCCACGTTCACTGTGAGTTTCTCATTAAAGCTGAAGAGCAGTGGGCGGCGTCTTTTAAAGCACTGATCCTATGTAACTCTGTCCTGATGCGTCTGATAACTCGTCTCTCTTTCTCTCTCCTGGGCTCAGTGTTTGATGACGGCGATGAGAAGACCCTCAGGCGCTCGTCTCTCTGCCTGAAAGGAGCGCGACACTTCGCCGAGAGTGAGGCAAGTCCACTTTCTGATTTCTCATTGGTTTAGATCGCTAGCAAACTCCTTCACATCATGACACTTTCACATCATATCCTGAAGTGAATTTGCTTGTGTCATAATTTAGGATGATTTAGAAACAGACTTTCAGACATGCGCTCAGGTGATCTTGAGAACATAAGGATGAATTTACTATTAATTAAAACAATATTTCAAAGAAAACATGTTTTGTTTTTTGTTTTGAACTTGAAAAAGAAAAAAAATTCTTCATAAAGTGCCAGATTTTCATGGCAAACATCAGCTCAAACCGAAACCGCAACAATTTATCAACTGTTGTGCTTATATGATTTTTATATGAGTTTAGCAATTAATCCAGTATATTAGGACATATCTAATGAGTTCATTTTTCTGCATAGTAGGAATGACCCAAAATCGGAGGTGTTTCATTCCCAGATGATTATTAGAAACTGTGTCACATCTCTGTTTGCTAAACAGTGCGCTAGGAAATGATTTCAAGCAGATTGTCAGTAGTTTAAGGCCTGAAACTCTACGCAAGTATGTATTTTAGTATCATTGATATACTCTTATAGTTTTTGTTAATATTTTGATTTTATTTTTATATTTTCTGTTTTCACTTAAATTTTAGTGGAGGTTTTAACGTTTTAATTGAATCAATGCTTAATTAATTAATTAAGTTTATTTTTATTTTAGTTATTTTAGTACTGAAAGTTAAACCAAACTAAAATGAGAAATATTGCCTTGGCAAATATCTGATAATAATTAAAAAAAGTAAAAAAATTGGAGGGAAAAAATGCAGTAAAAATTAAGTAATGATTTTCTTCTTTTTTTTCTTTTTTTAGTTAAAGTTTTAATTAGCCTATAAACACCTCTTGGTGCACAAGTGTGATTTTCGTATCATTGAGATGGTATTATAATTGTATTATTATATTTTCAGTTTTAATTTCAATTTTAGTTAAAGTTTTAGTAATTTTGTTAATGTTGTTTTTTTTTGTCAATTTTGATATAGTTTTAATTTTATTTCAGTTTAACTTATTTTAGTACATCAAGTTAAAGTAAATGAAATTGAAGAATGTTGCATTTAATTTTTTTTCAGCTGGTATTTATTTTATTTCAAGTAATGAAACTGTATCAGGGTTTCCGCGGATCTTAAAAAAGCCTTAAAAACTCTTAAATTTAGTTGTATCAAATTTAAGGCCTTAAAAAGTCTTAAATTGTACAAGAAAGTCTTAATTATGATTTCAAGAGGTCTTAAATTTGGGGACGGAAAGACATGAGTGCTGCACCTTCAAAGTCCGGTGCTGCGCTGCTTTGTGTACAGCAGTTACCGGGGAAACATTTATATTTCTACCAAACGCTCCGCCTGCTGTCAGAATGAATGAGGATTTTCAATAAAACTGATGTTTTGTTCAGAGTTCAGACAAATGCAAAAATCGACCCATGTTTTTACCCTGCAAACACGCAGAGCTTTAAATGTGAACTGGTGGATCGATAAGAAGACAATGCATTATAAAAATCTAAACAGAATAGGGGTGTGCGATTTGTATGGTCTGCGATAATATCGTAATTGTTTAAACAATGTGTGATTTGATATCGAGTATATCGCGAAAAGCAAACAAAACACCTACAGAGTGCGGGCTTAAAGGTAAAAATGCCCATAAAACGTATTATTAATTATTAATTTCTATTACTGCTGTGAACTGACCACACATAATATGAAGAATATAAAAAAATTCAGGAGTCAGCTGTCAGCACAATAACACATTCAGCAAAATATTGTCTAATTATCGTTATCGATCGGTTAGACTAGTGCGCGTGCGCATTTATAAGGCATTATTTCACTGCATGAATCAGTCTATTAAAATGCATTTAGAATTATCACATAATTTAAGATATGGGGCAGAAAATGTATATATTTATATAATTTCATATAGTTAATATCACACGAAAAGTGCCGTTTTTTTTCTCCAAA